GCCCCAAAACCCCCTGAACCGTCCCCAAATTCCCCTGGAACCTTCCCAGATCCCCCCTGGAGCCTCCCCAAATCCCGTGGGAAGCCCCAGATCCCTGGGAAGCCCCCAGAGCCCTGGGAAAAGCCCCAAACGCCTCTTGGCAGTGCCTGCAGTCCCTGCTGGAGATGCCCCAATGGCCTGGGATGCCCCCGATGCCCCAGGGCGGGAATATGCCGTCCCAGCGGATCCAGCGCGCCCAGCCGGGCTTGGCCATCGTGGCCAAGGGGAAGGGAACGTTCGTGGAGCGGGAGCAGGAGTGGGACAAGCGCAGAGCCAAGAGGGGAGAGGCCCCGGCCCCAAACAGAGCGGGGCCGGAGCGCAGGGGCAGCGCAGTGGGCGAGGTAGGGTTTGGTGGGATGGGGGCACTTTGAGGGATCCTTGTGGGATTGCTGGGCTGGATTTGGTGGGATTTTTTTGGGGTTTGGTGGGATTTTGAGGGAAGTTCCTGTGGGGATTTTTTGAGTGGATTTCCTCGGGATTTGGGTGGGATTTGAAGGGACTTGGGGGCATTTCTGGGGGGTTTGAGAGGAGTTTGGTGGGATTTTGGTGCAGATTTCTTGAGTGGACTTGGGGTGGATTTTGTGGATGTCGTGGGGTGACAGCCTTTATCCCAATATCGTGTGTTGTGTCTAGCAGCTGCGCCTTTTCCTCCCCTGGCCGTCTTGCTGCGGTGTGGCGGGGAGGGAGGGGTGAGTGTGACCGGGCACCTTGGCTTTTGCTTTTGGCTGCTTGGCTTGGCTGGCTTGCTTGCTTGCTTGCTTGCTCCTGCCTCGGCTGCTAGCTGCTAGCTGCTTTTTTGCTGCTTTCTGCTTTCTACGCTGTTTTTTTCTTTTTCTTTCATTCCCTCTTTCTTACCCTCCCCCGAAGATACTGGACAGACTCCAGACCTGACCTGGGACGTCCAGGACCCCCGGCGTCCAGGACCCCCGGAGTCTGCGAGAGAAGCTCAGCGCCCTCCACAGCACTGCCTGGTTTCTTTTCTTTTCTTGTGTTGGGGAGTGTTCTTTTGTTATTTGTTAATAAATAGGTTTTGTTTTCCACTGTGCTCCTCCGAGGAATTCCTTCCCGAACCTGGTATTGCGGGAGGGGTGGTTGGAAGTTTTTTTTTAGGCGGCTCCCTTTTGCAGATTTCCCCTAATTTGTCCTAAACCAGGACAAGAAGCAAAAGGAAGGAGGGGCCCAACTTTGCTCACCTTTCAGTGGAATCTGAGGAGCTAAACCCCTTCAGATAGATTTTAAAATCCAGCCTATATTGCACCTCCCTGGAACAAAATATCCATGCATGGATTTCCAACAGTGACTATGCACTGAACTAGTTGAAGGTTGTTTTAGCTCAAAGTCAAGGCTCAGTTTCCAAACATCTTGTGTTTGCATCTGCACTGTGTGGAGTCATACAATTAGTTTCCCTGTGTGGAGGAGTAAGAGTGGAAGAGGTTTGATTTACTGCATTGCACATAGCATTGCACCTGATATCTAGATCACCCTGCCCCACCATCTCCTCCTTTCCTGAGTCACAAGTGGAGCTCATCAGATCAGGCATTTTGTTTTCAACAGCAGTACTGCTGTCCCTCAGTAATAACCAAATTATGAAAAAGATTAACAGCCTCTGGGATTTAAACATTTAAAAACAGCAAGGATTTTGCTTCATGGAGACTGCCCTCAACCGTGTTAGCCTTCACCCTCACTGGAGGGTGGAGTGAAATGAATGATAAAACAGTATCTCAGGCATTTAATTCTCATCACCATCACTTGAGTTTACACATTGTTTGCATGATTTGCAGGTCCCATAACATGTGGGTAGATGATGTTTCTCCTGTAGGTTCCAAAGCAGACTCCAGATAGTAGCTAACCTGAAAAAAAATATATATCCTCAGGACCAGAAAGCTGTAAAACAGCCAAAGTTGTTGGACTTGAAACAGAGCCACCCAACCTGAATGTAGTGGTTATTGTCCTCTAGAATTGCCAATAATATACACAAACAAACATGGATCTATCTCTACAAAAATCAGTCGAAAAACATACAAAGGTAAGAATCACTAACTGCTCTCTTGAGTAGCATTAATTTTCCTTTGGTGACAATGCTTCACACTTTTTTGTAGACAGCAAATGGAGACTAGAGTGGCAGAGCCTTCCTGCTCCAGCAGCTGTCATGGTTTTTAACTTTTTCCAGCCCACAGGTGGCCAGGAGAAAGGCCACAGAATCACAAAATCATGCTGAGTTGGAAGGGGCCCATCAGGATCACTGAGCCCAAGCCCTGGTCCCTTGCAGGACATCCCAAATGTTCACATGAACACACCATGTTCCTGAGAGCATTGTCCAAATGCTTCCTGGGCTCTGGCAGTCTTGGTGGCATGACCACAGCCCTGGCGTACCTGTTCCACAGCCCAACCACACCCTGGGGGAAAACCTTTGCTGATATCCAACATAAACCTCCCCCAGCTCAACTTCAGGCCATTTCCTGGAGTCCTGTCACCGGTGTGAGAGACAGAGCAGATTGGTGCCTGCCCCTTGCAAGGATGATGAAGCCCTAAGACTGAGGTCTCCCCTCAGTCTCCTCTTCTCCAGCTGAACAGAACAATGTCCTCAGAAACTCCTCACCCTCAGGCTCCTCATCATCCTCATGGCATCCTTTGGTCTCTGGCAGTTTAATGTCATTTTTATATTGTCATGCCCAGAACTGCACCCAATATTCCAGGTGAGGCCACCCTGGCCCAGAGCAGAGCAGGATGATCCCTCCCTGGCCAGGCCGGCCATGATGGGCCTGTGCCCTCAGTACAGGCCCATGGCCATCCTGGCTCCGGGATGCTGCTGGCTTGTGTCCAGGGTACCCAACGCAGATGTTCCCCAGATGGAGAGAGAAGATACACCCCACGAGCTGAGCTGTGGTTTTTCCTGCGCGATTGTGGAGAAAACATGAGGCGATGGGATGGAAAATCCACGGCTGCTCTGGCCCGACGGGTGCGTGAATTGAAGGAAGACAGAGCTCAGAGAGGAAGTTCCACCACAAGGAAAGCAGCTCCAGTTGCCCGTAGCAGAACTGCCAGGTATGATGATGATGGTGACATGTCCGATCCCCTTGAAGGAACCTCTAAGACATATGTCCAAGGAAAGAAGGATAACCAGGCTTAGAGGGGCCCTGCCTCTAGCCAGGTAGAGGCTAGGGAAAATCGTGTTTTCTGGACGGTGTGGATTCGTTGGCCTGGCACATCGGAACCACAAGAGTATAGAGCTTTGGTTGACACTGGTGCGCAGTGTACCTTGATTCCATCAAGACATGTGGGGACAGAATCCGTTTCTATTGCTGGTGTGACAGGGGGATCACAAGACTTCACTTTGGTGGAAGCTGATGTGAGCTTGACTGGGAATGAGTGGAGGAAACATCCTATTGTGACTGGCCCAGAGGCCCCATGTATTTTGGGCATAGATTATCTGCGAAGTGGGTATTTCAAAGACCCAAAAGGACTCAGGTGGGCATTTGGGATTGCAGCTGTAGTGACAGAGGGCATCCAGCAATTGAATACCTTGCCTGGATTGTCTGAGGATCCATCTGCAGTAGGAGTCTTGAAGGTAGAGGAGCAACGAGTGCCAATTGCCACCTCAACAGTGCACCGCAGGCAGTACTGGACGAATTGAGATGCCATGATCCCCATCCATAAGATGATCCGAGAGCTGGAGAGCCAAGGGGTGGTCAGTAAAACCCACTCACCCTTTAACAGCCCTATCTGGCCTGTGCGAAAATCTGACGGAGAATGGAGATTGACTGTGGACTATCGTGCCTTGAATGAGGTGACTCCACCACTGAGTGCGGCTGTACCGGACATACTAGAACTGCAGTACGAGCTGGAGTCCAAGGCAGCAAAGTGGTACGCGACCATCGATATTGCTAATGCGTTTTTCTCCATTCCTCTGGCAGCAGAATGCAGGCCTCAGTTTGCTTTTACATGGAGGGGAGTGCAGTATACCTGGAACCGACTGCCCCAGGGGTGGAAACACAGTCCTACCATCTGTCATGGACTGATCCAGGCTGCACTAGAAGAGGGTGAGGCTCCAGAACATTTCCAATATATTGATGATATCATTGTTTGGGGGAACACGGCAATAGAAGTGTTCAAGAAAGGAGAGAAGATCATTCATATTCTCCTGAAAGCCGGATTTGCCATTAAGAAGAGCAAAGTCAAGGGACCTGCCCGAGAAATCCAGTTCTTGGGGGTGAAGTGGCAAGACGGACAGTGTCAAATTCCTGCAGATGTTATTAACAAAATCACTGCTATGTCCCCACCAACTGATAAGAAGGAAACACAAGCTTTCTTAGGTGCTATAGGTTTCTGGAGGATGCACATCCCTGAGTATAGTCAGATTGTGAGACCCCTTTATCTGGTTACCCGCAAGAAGAACGACTTCCACTGGGGCCCGGAGCAGCAGCAAGCTTTCGTCCAGATCAAGCAGGAGATCGCTCATGCTGTAGCCCTTGGTCCAGTCAGGACAGGACCAGATGTGAAGAACGTAATCTACTCTGCAGCCGGGAGCCATGGTCTGTCCTGAAGCCTTTGGCAAAAGCTGCCTGGCGAGACCCGAGGCCGACCATTGGGATTTTGGAGTCGGAGCTACAGGGGGTCTGAAGATAACTATACTCCAACAGAAAAGGAAATCTTGGCCGCCTATGAAGGAGTCCAAGCTGCTTCGGAGGTGATTGGTACAGAGGCACAACTCCTTCTCGACTACCGGTGCTAGGATGGATGTTCAGAGGAAAGGTTCCCTCTACCCACCATGCCACCAGTGCTACTTGGAGTAAATGGATTGCCCTCATTACGCAGTGCGCTCGAATTAGAAAGTTAAATCACCCTAGGATTTTAGAAGTAATTACAAATTGGCCCGAAGGTGAAAGCTTTAATGTCACAGATGAGGAACAAGAGCCAGTGACCCGGGTTGAGGAAGCTCCGCCATACAATCAGTTGCCAGCAGAAGAAACACATTATGCTCTATTCACTGATGGTTCTTGTCGTGTCATAGGGATGAAACGGAGGTGGAGAGCAGCTGTATGGAGTCCCACTCGACAGGTTGCAGAGGCTACTGAAGGAGAGGGTGAATCCAGTCAATTTGCCGAGATTAAAGCTATTCAACTGGCCCACGGTATTGCCGAGAGAGAGAAGTGGCCAAGGCTCTATTTGTATACCGATTCTTGGATGGTAGCCAATGCTCTATGGGGACGGCTGAAGAGATGGAAAGAGGCGAACTGGCAGCGCAGAGGAAAACCAATTTGGGCTGCGGAAGAGTGGAAAGATATTGCTACTCGGTTAGAAAAGTTACCTGTGAAGGTTCGCCATGTAGATGCCCATGTCCCCAGAAGTAGAGCTAATGAAGAGCAGCAAAACAACCAGCAAGTACATCAGGCTGCAAAGATAGGGGAGTTGAAGATAGATCTCGACTGGGAGCACAAGGGAGAGTTATTCTTAGCACGATGGGCCCATGATGCCTCAGGCCACCAGGGTAGAGATGCCACCTATAAGTGGGCACGAGACCGAGGGGTGGATCTAACCATGAACAGTATCTCTCAGGTTATTCGTGACTGTGAGACATGCGCTGCCATTAAGCAGGCCAAGCGGGTGAAGCCCCTCTGGTATGGGGGGCGGTGGTCTAAGTACAAGTACGGGGAGGCCTGGCAGATTGATTACATCACACTGCCTAAACCCCGCCAAGGCAAGCGCTATGTACTAACCATGGTAGAAGCCACCACGGGATGGTTGGAAACCTACCCTGTGTCTCATGCTACAGCCCGTAACACTATCTTGGGCCTTGAAAAGCAGGTCCTTTGGAGGCACGGTACTCCCGAGAGAATTGAGTCGGATAATGGAACTCATTTTAAAAACAATCTTATTAATACTTGGGCTAGGAAACATAGCATCAAGTAAACATACCATATCCCCTATCATGCACCAGCTGCAGGGAAAGTGGAAAGGTACAATGGATTGTTAAAAACCACCTTAAAAGCATTGGGTGGGGGGTCTTTAAAAAACTGGAAGCAGCATTTGGCAAAGGCTACCTGGTTAGTTAACACTCGAGGTTCCACCAACCGAGCGGATCCTGCTCAGTCTGAGCTTCTTAACACAGTAGATGGGGATAAAGCCCCAGTGGCCCATGTCAGAGGTTTGTTGGGAAAGACAGTATGGATCAACCCTGCCTCGAGTACAGACAAACCCATCCGTGGGATTGTCTTTGCTCAAGGACCAGGTTATACATGGTGGATAATGCAGAAAGATGGAACAACACGGTGTGTACCTCAGGGAGACCTGATTGTGGGATGAGACTCATATATGAATGTCATTGTTTGTTGAATGTGAGACAGAAGGAAACTGTAAGTGTCAAAGGTCTGAGCAAGTAAGATGAGAGGAATGCGTAAGTGTCAAAGGTGTGAGTAAGTGAAATGAAAGTTTTTTATTGTATGTTCACGATATTGGGATAAGGAGTGGAGTGTCGTGGGGTGACAGCCTTTATCCCAATATCGGGTGTTGTGTCTGGCAGCTGCGCCTTCTCCTCCCCCGGCCGTCTTGCCTTGCTTGCTTGCTCCTGCCTCGGCTGCTAGCTGCTTTTTGCCGCTTTCTGCTTTCTACGCTGTTTTTTTTTTCTTTTTCTTTCGTTCCCTCTTTCTTACCCTCCCCCGAAGATATTGGACCGGCTCCGGATCTGACCTGGGACGTCCAGGACCCCCGGAGTCTGCGAGAGAAGCTCAGCGCCCTCCACAGCACTGCCTGGTTTTCTTTTCTTTTCTTGTGTTGGGGAGTGTTCTTTTGTTATTTGTTAATAAATAGGTTTTGTTTTCCACTGTGCTCCTCCGAGGAATTCCTTCCCGAACCCGGTATTGGGGGAGGGGTAGTTGGAGGTTTTTTTTTAGGGAGATCCCTTTTGGAGATTTCCCCTAATTTGTCCTAAACCAGGACAAGCCCCTCACCAGAAACTGGCTTAGATGCAGAAAGGCTGTGTTAACAATTAACACAATGCAAACACAGAGTCACAGCGTTAAGGCTTTCAGCAATATCATAATACTACAAACAGTTCTTCACAGTACAGATCAGTTTGGCACCACACTAAGTCCTGGCAAAGATTAGCACAGAAATCCTAGGATACTGAGGTTAACAATCAGCCTAAAGTTGCTTGTATATTTGTGGGTAAACTGGGTACTGTACCCCCCATGCTATTTGGGACTTCTTCTCTGAAGTTATCTATTATGTTTAATATCCACACGTTTCATGGCGTCAGTGGTTGGAGACTGGGACAACACACACCTTGACGTGAATGTGGTGGCAAAAGAGCGTGTTTATTCCTCAAGCCCCTCTTTATAAAAGGGTTTGAAAAACCCAGTCTGGATAGCTCATTATTCTGACCTTTGGCACCCCCCAAGCTCCTGGACCAGTGAGGTGCCTGCAGCTTAGGATGGAACGTAATTGGCTGAGATTCCTGTCAGTCAACCCAGGGGCCAGGTTTATGGAGCTGGCAGGGTTTATTATCTATAGCTGAATTAACTGCCCAGTACAAGCCAGCTTGTACTGTGACATAATGTGACAGTTATCTACTGAATGAAGGAGTGATGATTATAAAGACATTTTAGTGCTAATTCACCAATAAAAAGTTACATGCTATTTAACTTCTTGAAAGACAGACTGGGACAAAAAAGGGGCAGAATCTCTCTGGATAGACCATTTTGATTCTAGAATGAAAAGCCAGAAGAATCATTAGGCTTCTACAGCCTGCTCTCCAAGTCTCAGAACACTGCACCAGCACAGCTGGGAATCCAAGGTATCATCTCTGATATAGCAGATAGGAGTGTACCTCTGTACAGGGAGATCTAATAGGGGTCCCTGCAAAAACCATCTGACATACTCAGAGACAACAGACTGTAGAAATCAATACAAAAATCATATCCAATGGGTGATTTTTGCTACTGTATTAAAAAGTGCTCTGAGAGAAATCAGCATGATTTTTAATTTGTTGACGATGCTTTAAAGGGACAAAAGGGTACTGTGAGTTAAAATAAAAATATGAAAGCCCATACCTTTTAATTTTCTCCTCCTGCTTATTGGCATACTGTTTGAGTAGGATGTGGTCATCACGGAGACGAAGAAATCTGTCTTCCAGTTCCTCTCGACTGATTCTTGATATGACTTGTCGAGCTTTTACATTCTGTGGAGATGACGATTCTACCCAAAGCAAGGCAATTTTAAATTACCTTCAATACATTCAACAACATATAATTCAAAGTCTAACTCACTTTGAAAATCTGAAAAAAATTAATGAAAATTTTCAAGGAATATGATATTTTACACTTGTTTCAGTCTATTGATTAATTTCCTCAGACTTATTGGCAGGTTAATCACTTCCTTTTTCCTTTCTTTAAGAGACTAAAAAAAAAAATGTAGTTCAAATGATGCAGCAAACTGACTACCTACCAGGCAATGAAAAGATAACAATTTAGCAAGCAACTAGGAATGGTCAAACATAATTAAAAGATAGGATGAACATTACCATTGAGATGTTTTCTAATGTTTCAAAGTGAACACACTCTCTTGAAGCTTGAAAGAATTTACTCATAGTTGTGAAAACAAACTCAAATACAAGACTAAGCCCAGCAGTTCCATTCTAATAGCAGCTGAGTAACATACAAGAATTGCATAGTACTTTTGGTTCCTATTTTCTTAAATGGATCTGTCCTTGTCCTCATTTCAGCAAAAAAGCATTCTCTTTCCTTCCAGAAGGATGAATGTTACAGTTTGATGAGTTTTTCAGTTTTTAGCATCTCACAGCAACCTCTCTTTTACAACAACCTACTTGAACACAGGATGAGTCACTGTACCTTTCAAAATTTAACCCAGATTTTGATCTTCATTTTGTGAAACATTTTTAGAAAGAAGCTAAGGAAGCCACTGACCGAAGTCTGCAATTGCAATAAATAGCATCTGGTACAAACCTTGTAATCCTTCAATTCCAGCTGGAGTAAGGACTGTATCTCTCATAGCCAGGTTCTCCACAGTTTCATCAGCTGAAACAGGCATGGCTTACCTAGGAATAACAAAATTCAAATGCTTCTTCATCTGCGATTTAAACTGTGAGACTAGAATGAACTACAAAACATCATATAAAATGATGGCAAAAGTAATGACAGATTTACTGGAATGACTGACTTGTGTATTGCTGTAAATGCTCCTATCTCAACTGAATTCCTCAGAGGACAATCAAAACCTTCAAGTTTAACATTATGCCATTTTTAATCCATGCACAAAATATGGCTTATTTGGTTATGCAGTAGCTAGCTCCAATTCTATTCAATGCACGCAGAATGTAAGAGCTTTTAAAGTTCTAGTTCTAGATTGTCTTCAGCAATCTTTGGGCTAAGGCCATATTTCCAAGTGGATGTGGGAGGAGGAGGATCTGATGGGGTGTCTTTGCTTTGGGGTTTTTTTTTTTTTTTGGTTTTTTTTTTGGGGGGGGGGTTTGTTTGTTTGTTTTTGTTTTGTGGGGGGTCTTTTTGTTTTGGTTTGTTTTTTTTTTTAATTGTTTGTTAATTTTAAGTCATGTCAAAGCTTAAGGCATCAACTGGTAGGTGAATGCCATCCTTCACATTCTGAATGGGACTCTAAAATGAGGTGCTGGGGGTTATGGTGTCATTTCACTGTTACCTACCAATCTCTTAGTCTTCTTTCAATCATTGTCCTAAGAGAAATTACTTTTAAAAATAGAGACATTTCTATGAATGATATTCATAAATCCAAACACATTTCTTTTTTAAGACAACAGAAAAATCAGCTACATGACAAAGTGAGATTAGTAAAGTATTAATTAGAGTATTTATCACTGTAATATATGAAGATACTGCTGTTTTCTTGTCTTCCAGTGCAGAAAATTAAATGCTGGCCAGAGAATTAAGGAATGCTGAAACAACACGAAAAAGAGGCACATGAAGTTCTTAGGATGGCCTTTCCCTCCCACATTGTTACACCCTTCAGATGATATAAATCCTTAGTGAATCCAAAATTATCTAGGAATCCATTGGCATATTAAGTGATGTTAAAAAGACTTGCATCAGAAGACAGAAGTGACACAGTATAATCCACAGACATTCCATGAAATATCTCTTAATTTTTTCATCAAAACTACTGCCTAAGTGATGACTTTCTTCTACCAGCAAAGCTGTCTATCATAACCTAGTCTCCATATGGCTTTGTCCTAAAGGAACAAAAAGGATTAATGGAAGCTCTCTTTCCAACAAGTCAGTCTTGCTTTTGATCTTTTTCATCACTAAAATTTAGAATAAAATAACAATTAATACCTGGACAGATCCAGATGCTACGCTCAACCTTGAAAAATTTAATCAGATTTTATTTCCAAGAAAAGTAACCATACTTCAGCACTTTTGTTAATCAAAAATAAGTGAAAAGAACTTCACATACAAAGAGAGGAAAATTTTCCATATCTCTAGAATTAGCCTGTAAGAATTTCCAGTTAGATATAAAGAAGAATTTTATTGTTACTGGAGTTCAAGAAACTTAAAACTTTCTTATATACTGAAGTACTTAATGTTTCTATCACCATCTGGCAAATTACAAAACACTGCATATGTCTTTGCTGAGTTATGCGAGACCAGCCTGCAATGAGATGAATGCTTAAAACTAGAGAATCAAACCTCATGCTTTACGTCCAAATTTTTATATAGCTCACAAAAGCAAACTGTTGCACCAGTATCGTTCCAAAGTAGCAAAACTAAAGATGGATTACCTAAATTTTTAAAAGTATTCAGCCAGTGGGGGTAGGAAGCACTTCTAGGGAAACCTTAAAAATTACGACATTTAATTGTTTCAATGTGGATTTAGAATTTCATGAGTCTTGCACGTGGCCAAAATGATTCTTTTCTTGCTATGTTCCCACACTCGGGCAGGGTAACACACCTCCTGCTTAAACCCAGCGGCCAACTACCGCTTTTTACGTACAAAATAGACACTGCAACCGAAAAGGCCTCTCGGGCTGTTCTGAATCAAGCGGTGAGGCACTGCCTTTCCTACGGGCATCGAGCTGCGCGCGAGCGGCCTCACGGGCCTAACATTATCTGTTCAGGAGCTCCGCCGCAGGCCGGCTCCCCGGCTGGGGACAGCCCGCTGCAGGGAGCGGTGCCGCATCCCCCTGAGCAGCTGCGGCCGCGCCGCGCTCCCCGCGCCGTGCCCGGAGGAAGAGCAGCCGCTCCCACTCACCGCCCGCCGGCCCGGCGCGATCCCCAGCCCGCCGCCGCCACTGCCGCGGGACGAACGCCTCCGTCCGCTTCCGGGGTCGCGCGCCCCGCTGCCTGCTGGGAGTTGGAGTTCGGGACGCGCTCTCGGGACCCACTCTCGGCCTCTGCCCGCGCAGGGCTCGGGGAGTAGAGGAGGGGAGCTGCAGCGAGAACTGGAGGTACTGCTTCAAATGTGCAGTTTTATTGCACATTCAATGTAAATATAAATGTTTGCACATTCAAATGTAAACGTTTTATTGAATGGTGCTCTTGATGGCTGTTGTACCTCTGCTGGGTTTGTTTACGAAATAGGAGTCCAGAAAAGCAGTAAGTGATTCCTTTGAAAGTAATTTTAGTGATATTAATGAAAGGAAGTCTAATTCTATAAAAAGATTAGAAAAAAGCTTTCTAAGATTGCAGTCAGATACGCCTGTGCAGGGTGTACTGGGTTTGGTATTGCTATTAATCTGCTATTCAACATTAAAAATGTTTCACTATGGGGCAGGTGTTGGGAGGAAAAGGTTAAAAATGGATTGGTGACGACAATGTTATTTCTAGAATTGTTTTCCCTCAAAGACCAACCTTGTCCCTGAGAGATCCTAAAATTATTCAGTGTGGACATTTTAGGTATTTGTGTTTGCTTTAGGTTGTTTTCTCTCAGCTGAGAGAAAGAAGATAACTCAAAGAAGATAACAGGATGTTAAAGACTTAAGTGCATTTTCCCCATATACTTAAGCCTACTTGTGGTGTGGGGGAGGTGGGGCAAGAGGGGTAAAGAAGCTTAGAGAGTGTAAAAACATAGCCCTGTGAAGCAGTGTGCTTGTGCCAGGCCTGAACCACTGTCCAGGCCTGTTGCATGCACTTTCTGCCCTTGCTAAGATAGAATAAGCTTATGTTATAAATAAGAAGCTTGACTAGGCCAATATTCAAGCAACAATCAATTAGCAGTGTCTGTGTCCACTGTTTTGCCAGCGTGGTGATGGAATAAATCTACTTTTTATACTTCAGATGTGGATTTTGGCCATCTTGGTTACCTGCACATATTTTGGCTCCCACAGCAGGGGAAAGATCTGATCTAAGTCTGCAACTAAGGATTTTAATATAAAAATAACTTCAGAGCCTGTTGGTGGTAGAAAGATTCTTAACTCTTTAAGGAAAACCTGGTTATTTTCTAATTGGTCTTGTTTTGGTATAGTTGTATGCAGTTAAATGCTGTCTATCAAAATCTCAGAGACTGGCTTTTGATTTGTAATTATGCAGTATGTTTCTTACATGTGCTAAGTTGGTCTCACTCTCTCAAATTTTCATGTGTATAGCAGGTTTTCATTTATGCTATAATAGAAGAACAATTCTGTTCCAAGTACACATATTAGAAGTTCTTTAGAGTGCAGGGCTATGTCGTGGTTTTAATTTGAAATTGGGGAGAAATACTAATTTTGTGTGGGGGTTTTCGTTTGTTAATTTGAGACAAAATTTTGTTAATTTTGACTTTTTTTAGGTAATATATTGTTATAGATACATATTATAGGATCTACTCTTTGCAAATATTAAAATGAATATATGTTATGTTGGAAAGTTATGCTGTACTAATCTCTTTTAAGTAGTGCTGTATTAATCTCTTTTAAATAGTGTGGTAAATATAGTTTTTAGGCTATAGCATAATATTAAAATACAAACTATGTGATGTAAGATACTTTTTGTAACTAGCTCAAGGAAGGGAAAAGACAATCAAGAAATTCTTCTGGATAGAGATAACAGCAGACACCAAGATCCTAAGAAAAAAATTATTGCTTCCTTATCGGGAAAGCTCAGACTTCGAGGAACCGAGAAGACTGAGTTACAAGATTTTGCGGGGGGGGGGGGGGGGGGGGAGCTAAAATTAAGCAGAAACACCCTAGTGTGAAAGGAATGTTTGAATCATGTATGAGATCTATGAGTCTGCAATAGGCTATCGCTTCTAAGGGGTAATCCTTTGTTAGCAAGGTGTGCTTTGTGGCAGAGTGCCAGGCACCTGGACATCTGTAATTCTTTGCTTTTTATTGTTTCTTATTATCTTAATTTTTATTACTATTTTCATTATTATTAAACTTCTGAAATTTTAACAAAAGTGAATGGCGTTTTTCGCATGCGTTAAAGAGTGTGGTGGGCTTGGTGTTGTTTAATTACTAATGTATTCATTTTTTGTTGTGAAATAGGATTAGGAGAAAGGTAAAGTAGGTTTAAAATTTTAAAAGGGTAGAAAGAAAAATTTATTAATAGCAATTTAAAGAAAGAGCAATAAGAATTAGAATAAAATTTTTAGAATACTTTTCTTATTTTTGTAGATATATGTAGATAATGTAGAGAAACAAAATTTTAAATTTTAGTTAATTTTTTTAGAATAGTTTTTTTTGTTTACTTAGGGAGAGAAGATTCTTTTGCTAATATTATGGAGACCTCTATAAGAAAAAAACAAGGATTTTGTGTTTTTTTTTTTTTTTTTTTTTTTTTAAAAAAACCCCCCGGGGGGGCGGGGGGGGGGGGGTGGCGGGGGCAGGAGCGGGGAAAGCTAAAATTAAGCAGAAACACCCTAGTGTGAAAGGAATGTTTGAATCATGTATGAGATCTATGAGTCTGCAATAGGCTATCGCTTCTAAGGGGTAATCCTTTGTTAGCAAGGTGTGCTTTGTGGCAGAGTGCCAGGCACCTGGACATCTGTAATTCTTTGCTTTTTATTGTTTCTTATTATCTTAATTTTTATTACTATTTTCATTATTATTAAACTTCTGAAATTTTAACAAAAGTGAATGGCGTTTTTCGCATGCGTTAAAGAGTGTGGTGGGCTTGGTGTTGTTTAATTACTAATGTATTCATTTTTTGTTGTGAAATAGGATTAGGAGAAAGGTAAAGTAGGTTTAAAATTTTAAAAGGGTAGAAAGAAAAATTTATTAATAGCAATTTAAAGAAAGAGCAATAAGAATTAGAATAAAATTTTTAGAATACTTTTCTTATTTTTGTAGATATATGTAGATAATGTAGAGAAACAAAATTTTAAATTTTAGTTAATTTTTTTAGAATAGTTTTTTTTGTTTACTTAGGGAGAGAAGATTCTTTTGCTAATATTATGGAGACCTCTATAAGAAAAAAACAAGGATTTTGTGTTTTTTTTTTTTTTTTTTTTTTTTTTTTTTTTTTTTTTTTTTTTTTTTTTTTTTTTTTTATGAATAGTAGCCACCTGAGGAATTTTGTAATTGTGACATTGTATTTATTTTTTATAAGTTTTTTTAATGGTTGTGTTTATGGGTTATGTTAACTTCTGGGGTATTGTTTTAAAGATGAGTTGTTTAAAGGTAAAATTTATATTATTTATTTTAAAAATTAATTTTATTTTTGGGAATAGAGGGTTTTTTCCCTTGGGTGTATAGGATTTTTTTGTTTGTTTAATTTTTTATAGGATTATAGTTATTTTAATATTTGTTTATTTTTGTATGGAGGTTTTTGTTTGACATTAAATTGAATTTTTCTTTGAATGGTTTTGGTGTTATGGGGAATAAGGGGTTTTTTTTCAATAGTTGTTGTAAGAGGATTTTAGTTTCAAGATTAAGGTGTCTTTTAAATTTTTTTTATTTTGCATTTGATTTTTTTTTGTTGGCTTTGATGTTTTTATGTTGTTTTTTAAAGTCTTTGTATTTTGGATTTTTTTTTTTTTTTTTAATTTGAGGGAAGATTGAAGTACTGAAAGAGTTAACGTCTCGCCCGGGGCAGTTACTCAGTGCTTGCTGTGGGAACTGTGGCTGGGGTTGTGTAAGGATTGCTTGTATGCTTAGTTTTCGGATTTTGTTTTGTATTTAATTTTAGTTGTAGGGTTACTCTGTATGGTCTGCAGGGCCACTTCTGGTTTGAGTTGTCTGATTTTGTGCGGCGGCCGCGCTGGGGGGAGGAAACCTGGTGGTGAGACATTAACCGCCGCGGCCCGGCTTTGCTTCGGTAGGGCCACCGCACCTTCCCTGTTTTTTGCCTTGGTAGTTGTTGGGTCTGGCTCGGGACGGGGCCTGGCGGGCTCCCCGGAGAGGGGCTCGGCTCTGTGGCAGAGCCTGCCCGGCCCGGGCCAGCCTTGTTACTTGCTCTTAGGTTGAAAGGAGAAGATGAAGTTCCCAGGGTTTTATTGTCTTTAACACGTATTTTTCACAGAGGCTTGTCCAGTTTTCTAATGGCTGGAAGCTTTCCATTACATCCCTAAATGTCTCTTACATAAAACCATGACAGGCTGTCATACAGCAATTTCCACTTCACCTTTGCAAGCCACTCAACTGTAAGTAAGATTGAGTGTGTAGCAGAAAATAAATTGTTTATGCTAGCATTTAATGTTCCAAGCCCAAGAGGAGGAGGATGTTGTAAAAATTCATTCTTGGGAAGAGGATCTGAAAAAAGTTTGGAAGCCATAATGTTGGAAATGATACAACTCTTTTTTTTTTTCTGCACAGGAATTTGTTCACCTTTGTCCAGGGGGAGTGGGACTTCAACATTTCTCTTCAAAAGACTCTGTTCAAGACTGTTCACCAGGTGAGGCTGTCATGATCCGTCCTAGAGGACAAGATTCGTGGAGGTTCTTTTCATTGATCTCAGGGTGCAAAAACTGACATGACAAGGAGATTTTGCAGTAAAATCAAAGCAAAAATACTTTTTATTGAATAACCACAACAAAAATGCGTTGGGGAGAAGGGGAATGAAGAGAAGAGAAAGAATAAGGAAAGAGAGAGAGAGAGAGAAGAAAAGACGTGTATAGCTACCAGACGTGCAGATGACGAGGTCCCTCGAAGTCCAGTCAACGAAGAGCCTGTCATCTTCACGTCAGGGGAGATCTCCAAGGGTACCAGTCAGCTTTAACCTCTTTTATAGTCCTCTTGATTGGGGGAAGGACAGACACATTTCAAAACAGTCTATTGAGAAAGGGTACAAAGAGTGCATCAGCAGTCCATCAGCAGAAGGCGTCGTCAGCAGTAGGCGTCAGCAGTAGGCATCGTACAGAAAGTACATCAGCAGCAGGCAAGAACCATTGTCTTCTCAGTCCAGTGGTCGCTTGCAAACTTGCTTTGGTTACCAGGCCTTTCCCACACATGCCTTCCCCCACCCTACAGTGGAGATTTCAGTCTCAGTCTTTTAGGGAAGAAGAGGAGGCTTTTCCATGTAGGGGTCGCATGTGTCAGTCCTTGAGGGAAGAACCTTCTCCCCTCTTTGTCACGGTGGTTGATGTACGGTGAATGGAGGGTCTTTTGTGGTGACCACCGAGAAGGTCATTCCAGAGAGAAAGTCCAGCGAAGTCAGTAGGGTGGAGAAATTCCAGGGTCAGCCTTGCTAAGTGATGCAGGCGAAGGAGAGCACACTGCCCTTTCTCGGGTGCAGTGTTCCATGAGTCGAGCAAACACACCCGTAGACAATAATTTGGCTTAGTGGACCAATCAGACCTGGATTTTCAGAACAGGATCTTCTCCTTCCCTGGTGCTCTCAAACTTTCATGACGATCGAGAGGCAAAGAATGCAGGAAATTTCGGACAGACACTCACAGAGGCCTGAAGAACTTAACATGAACAGATTGGGAGTAGCCAGAAGATACACAGGAGCTAAGTGAAAAATACCCCCTGGTGCAGTTGGAGATACTTCATCTGGGAAAAGACTGATAAGAGAACCAAAGAATAAGGACCAAGTTAGCAACAAAGGCAAAGGTATCAATAACCAATAGGAGATCAAATACTAAGAATTGTGTAATTTAAGACCAATGAACAAGAATTTCTTTGCATTTTGTGTGTATGAATATGTGAAAAGTCTGGTAAAGAACCACATGTGATGGAATTATTTTCACTGCACAGCCCATGCATGTGTGGATGAAATAACTTCTATTGCACATGGCCAAAATAAAGTGTTATGAATAAAAAGTTATCTATTTTTGTTTAAGGTTACAGAGCTAAAACCGGTTGCTGTTGCGTTAGCTTCATTGTTAAGAGGAGTTCTTCAATTGCCCGCTAATGGTTGGTGATTTAGCCATTGTTCTCCTGATGCTTGCCCGGGGGCAACACCTGAACACGGCAGCACCAGGAGAATAGGAGTGGCCTGAGACCTCGTATGCAGATGAGAAATGCATTGCTCCAAATCTTCCTGTTTTCCAGGAAAACCCCTAAAAACAACGAGCCAACACAGAATTAGGGGACCTAGGTGATGTCTAAGGATAGGCGCGTAGTCCAGTGCCTGCTTGGATCCTTTTTGCTTCTCACCCTGACCTGAAAGGATGTTCACTAAGGAGGGGACCCGAGGTGTTAGACCGAAAAGTAGGAATCTGCTAATCTCCCGTGAGGACGCAGTCCCCAGCTCTGCCTGCAGACCAGCGGATAAAGCTGCATCACCCTCCTCCTCTGTGCCACTCCTGAGAGCAGCGGCAGCATGGGCACAACCCGTCGATTTCTCCCCACCTGAGCTGAATCTCTTTAATAAAGGCATTAAAAAGGAGAAAGATCTCCTGCCCATTTATTTCATAAAGTAATGCATAATTCTCCAACAGTGAAAAGATGTTGTTGAAGAGTTTCTGTTATTCCCATGGTTTCAGTGACAATAGAACACTGCCTTCACAGAGGAAGTCTGTGAAGTTCCACCGGGCACTGGGAGCTGCAGTGTGTGGGTGGGGAACAAATCCCTGGAGGCCTCCCACCCCATGGGGTCCCGCGGGGGGAGGTGGAGGGGGTGGGGGGAGCAGCCGTGCCCCTGGCTGTGACTGCCACCTGCGCACCTAAGGACTCGGGGTGGGTGTTATGCACCACAGTGTAGCAGGCCCAGGGCCTGCAAGGCCTCCTTGGAGGTCAGAAGCCTGAGCTAGGAAATGCCAAGTCATGATGACTGGGCCTTAGAAGCCCCTCTCTTCCGCCTTTTGGATCCTGCTTATCTCTCTGTAAGCCTATAGGTCACTTTCCCCTGACCCTTACTATTGGACAATTTCCAAAACCCCTGTAGGGTATAAAAACCCCTAATTCTGCCTGGTTCGGCAGAAGAGCTGTCACTGAGAACCTTCGTGGAAGACCCTAATAAAGAATCCTGCGGAACCTCATACAGCGCTTCTCCTCCCCCTTCCTGCGTCTGCTGCTGCGGCCCAAGCAAGCTAAAGAGCTGATATCACAGAGCGCTGATAATCACTAGGAGCTGAAATCACTTAAGCTTGCTTGGCTGCCTGCAGCTGGGAATGGCTTGGGAGTTCGGACACTGTTCTGAGCCTCCACTGAGTTATCCCGGCCATGGCAGTCCACCAGGCACAGCCCGGCTGGAACCTGCTGCAATACCACAGTTGTAGCAGGGACCGGGCCATGTAGGGCCACAGAAGGGACCATGGCACTGTCTGCATGCTGTCCCTGCTGCTTCTCCTCCAGCCACTGGGGGGGTCAGCAGCTCCACTGGGACACTGTGGGGGTCTTGTGGAAGCCAGGGGCCATTGTGACACAGTGGGGATGCAGGGAACCCACATTCCATTGTGACCCCATGCCACCCAGGAGACTCTTTGTGATACTGTGAAACTTCACAGAACCCTGGGGACCACTGTGACACCACAGAGCCTCAGGGAACCCTGGAGACAGTGAGAATGCTACAGAACCTCATGGAGCCCTGGGGCCTACTGTGACACCATGAAACCTTTGGTGGAACTAAGGGGCCATAGTGACACTGTGGGGCCTTTTGGAACCAAGGAGACCCTGGTGGGAGCCCACGTGATCATTAATCCTGGCAGGAACCTGCTCCCTGTGAGCTCCTCTCTCCAGGCTTCCACAGGTCCTGCCAGGATCCTGCTCCAGCACTGGCTTGCCACAGGCACGTGGCTTCCTTTGGGAATAACGTCTCTGCTCCAGGATGGCATTCTGTAGAGGATGCAGGTGGATTTTTTGTTCCCTCATGGCATGTAGGTGGACAATAAAGCCTGAGCCACCACCCCAGCCCTTGTCTGGCTGTGTTATCAGGGTGGGGGAAATTTGGCACAACAAGGTCGGGGGAGGCAAGGAAAGGCAAATTAAATGAGAGGCTGGCAAGGTAAGGGCAGGCCAGGAGAAAACCACCCACTGTTCACCTGGACCATCATACTGCTGCAGCCATCATGTCAGTCATTGCCAGGCCTCTAACAGGTGCTGGCTAAGGAGCAAACTACTGCCATGGCATGAAAGCTTTCCTTAAGAGTCAAAATCAAGCGGAGAAAATCTGTGCAACCAGGTGCTTTTTCTTCCCAAAGAACACAAACATCTTTTATAATTTTACATATTTTAAAAGACTATGTATAGGCCTTATGCTTCTCTTCTGTACTTCTTGTCTCAGTGTCCTCCAACAAAAAAGAAAGGGGACCAAGAATTTAAGGAAAATACCTCATGCATTTTGCACTTAAAATATGTAAAAATAACTTTGCAATGTGAGACACCTTGCTCTAAATATTACTAATTTTATTATAAGAGAAATCAATAGAGAGTCTCAAGGTAGGTTGAAAGTATAGAGAGAAAATAAAACTAGAAATCAAAAAGTCATTAAAAATCATACAAAATGAGATAAAGCCAAATTATGACATAACACTTAAGAATTTATTATTATGAAATGCAACATAGAGAATTAACTTGTCAATGAGTTATCATGTATTAAAAATAAGGAATTATAAGAAAATTTAGTGTACATTAAAATTTACATGCATAATGAAATGTAATTAAATGTGTATAGGAATGTGCCCCCTGTTGACGGAGTGACAAAACTATCCTTTGTCTCCTTAACAAGGAAAAAAGCCCAGAAGTTTCTTTCCTCAATTAGGTTAAAAGACACCTCATAGGACCTTGAGGACTTCACCTGAAACTTAAGGATAGCCAGTTGGATAGGAGCCAAAAAGTCCCACCTAAGCAATTTACTAGAAAAAGAAGAGAACAAAGAAAGTAATTGCCTTTGTGAAGTGTTTTACCAGGAGCAAGACCCTCTTGCACCTAGCTCAGTTTTTCTCTGTAAAGGGTTTTGTTATTTTGCCTTTTATTAAAACTTTTCTGTTTCCAACACTACCACAGGAGCCATCATGCTGATTTTATGCCTTCTAAGGTAGCTGAGCTATCTTGGGTGTGATATAGATCTCCAAGAGCTTATGAGACCTCTCTCAAGGAGACCGTATGTCATGTGGCACCTGGACAGGTGATTTCTCATACTGAGAGACACAGTCTGGGAAATTTTTGATTGGCCCTCAATCAAAATAGGACATTTTCTCCTTGGTCTTGCATTTTTGGGGAGCAGGCCTGCGACTGGTTTTTGTGGGCCAAAAGAAAACCCAGGTAAAGGAGGATCTGACACCATGAGAAAGGGTCCCAGATCAAAGCCTCACAGACAGTGAAACAAGGCTGGAACCGGGATGGTGCTGGAGAACATGCTGCGAAGTCCTAAAGGACCACTTCAGAAAGCTGCAATTTGGCTGAGCCAAGGCTGAGACGCTGCTGTGTTTCCAGACCTGGGGAGACAGACCAAGGAGGACAGCTTGTCTGAAAATCTTCATTGGTGAGTAAGAATGGGAAACAAGTTGTCTTTAGCTGAGCAGGATCTTTATTTTTATTTGAGCTACAAGTTAGAAATTCAAGATGTAAAATTTGAGAAGAAACCACTTAAAAAACTCATCAGATGGGTTTTCACAGCAGGCCTTACTTGCCAGGGCAAAGGCAAATGGCTCAGTGAAATCCTTGAGATGAAAGGACACGTCAGGTACTGAAAGGACTGCTCAATACAAGAAATGGGGGATGATAGACTGACCCCACAGAATAGAGTGCTGAAAGCAGTTCATGTTATTAATCATCTCCTGTTAGTAGGTAATTGTAGTGAACTAATCAATCTGTGCCACCTGAAAACATCCATTGCTCTCAGAACTGTGGACGCTTTTGCTGTCCTTGGCTGAGATAGGAATATGTAGAACATGGATCAGATAAGCTGTGAGTTTAGAGGAGGTAGTTTCCCAAGATGTGGAGAGTGCAGACATCGCACATCCAAAAGTTCAATACCTGGGTGGAATTCCCAAGTAAGATGAATAACAGTTAATTCCCCATAAACCTCTAGAAGTGCTGGGCTTGCTTCCTTTTTGTGCATCCTGGTGGGCGTGGGTTGTGACCCTATATTGCCAGCCAGGGGTCTATGTACAAATCACGAATGGGATGGGACTGCTAGGAATGCATCTTGAGCTGTTTTATTTTCCAGCATCAGTCTCATTACATGGTTATGACAATGGGAAGGTGCCAGCAGGTCACATCTCTGGCAGCAGACAAATAACTTAATATTACAACCTCCTTCAAAACTTTTTTGAACAATCACACAAAGCAAAAGCATATTGACAGTAGTTCTATCCAACCACTATAAGCATATGTACCTTTTGCTAAAAAAATTCTTGCTTATTTTGAATACAATACCTGCTTGTAAGCCTTAAAACACAATGCACAGAGCTCCATTATTAAGCTTAGAACTTCCTAATATCTTGCTAGATATACTTTTCTGCAGCCTAGGGAGTTATTCTAGACAAACATTAATACACAGACCATTGTTCTATTTGTCCTCACTTTTCTGCTTCTTATATAATTTTTCTGCTGACCAATCTTGTGGCTACTGCTTAGCTCTAATCACAGTTCTGCTGTCTCTGAGGCCTGCCTTTTGCAGCTTTCCCAAAACCCTCTGATTTTAAGGATTCCCACAGCCCTGCAGGCTGTGTGGGAGGCAGGGTTGTTTGGGCTTTTTGGTGTTTTCTAGGGGTCCTTGTTCTGGACAGTGGATGAACTCTCTCGCCTCTTTCTTCATGGAGTGTTGTTGTCTATCCTTCTTGTGGGGTGCTGTGTTTCTTCTCAGCTTTGGATTGGGTTTGTCAGTGCTGTCTCTTTTTGCTTCTATCTTGTTTTTCAGACTCCAGCTCATTTGGTGGAGGAGCTCGTG